TCTTAACATTGGTAGATGACTATTCTCGTTTCACCTGGTTGATCTTGATGAAAAATAAAGGAGAGACTCGCATGCACATCCGCAATTTTATTGCTTTTGCTGCAACACAGTTCCATTCCAAGGTTAAAATTTTCAGAAGTGATAATGGAAAAGAGTTTCTGATGGGTGATTTCTTTTCTTCCAAGGGTATTTTACATCAAACTAGCTGCGTTGAGACACCACAACAAAATTCTGTTGTGGAACGCAAGCATCAACACGTGTTGAATGTGGCTCGAGCCATACTATTTCAAGCCTCAGTGCCAATTAAACTTTGGTCTTATGCAGTTACCCATAGCATTCATCTAATCAACCGTGTATATTGCTCAAGTCTTGGAAATAAAACTCCCTATGAATTGTTGTATGGTGAACCCCCAGTGTTGACTCACTTACGTGTATTTGGCTGTCTAAGCTATGCTTCCACACTGTCTTCACATCGCACAAAATTTTCCCCTCGAGCAAGAAGAACTGCTTTTCTGGGATATAAAGTAGGTACTAAAGGGTATCTACTATATGATTTACAGTCTCATGAATTTATTGTATCACGTCATGTGACCTTTTATGAGTCTGTATTCCCCTTCGCAGCAACTAATCCTCATGTTAATCAGGCTACTGAGTCTTTGTTACCTCTGCCACCAGACCTTTCTGATTTGCCTCATCCACCATATTCACCTATCCATCCCCCTTATGATACTCCAATTCACACTATCATGTCACCCTTACTCCAGCCACTTCCCCCTGATATGTCTTCTGATTCATCCTCACCATCCAATTCCCAGCCTCCATCTTCTGCATTACCACTCTTACCAACCACAGACTCACCTACTAATGACCCCTTGGACACTATTTCGCATTCTGAAACAAATTCTCCCATGCTCCGAAGGTCTTCTCGATTGAAAGCTATTCCAAGTTACCTTAAGGACTATCACTGTGGCCTTTCTGTCAATCAGCTGTATCCATCTTCTTCAGGTACATCTTGCTATCCTTTATCTCATTTTCTGTCTTATGATAAATGTAGTCCTCCATATCACCATTTCTGTTTAAATTCATGCACACACACAGAACCACACACATATTCCCAAGCTGTCAAACACACAGAATGGCAGCAAGCCATGCAGAATGAACTCACTGCTCTGGCTCAGAATCAGACTTGGACCCTAGTGCCTCTTCCTCCTAACAAGCAGCCCATTGGATGTAAGTGGGTTTATAAAATCAAGTTTCATTCTGATGGAACTATTGAACGTTATAAGGCACGCTTGGTTGCCAAAGGATTTACTCAACAAGAAGGGGTTGACTATTTTGATACGTTTTCCCCAGTAGCCAAACTTACATCTGTTCGAACACTCCTTGCGGTGGCTGCTATCAAGGGCTGGCATCTTGTTCAATTAGATGTGAACAATGCTTTTCTTCATGGGGATCTCCATGAAGAAGTTTATATGCAAGTACCACCTGGACTTTCTGTATCACATTCCAATGTTGTTTGTAAATTGCAAAAGTCCCTTTATGGATTAAAACAGGCTAGCCGACAGTGGTATGCAAAGCTGTCTTCTGCCTTGATCACCTTGGGCTACCTTCAAACCAATGCTGATCACTCCATGTTTGTCAAACAAACTGCTTCCGCTTTCACAGTCCTTCTAGTATATGTTGACGATATTATACTTTCTGGCAATTGCATCACAGAAATCAACAAAGTCAAATAATTCCTTGATGATTCATTCAAAATTAAAGATCTTGGTCATCTTCGTTATTTTTTAGGCCTTGAGGTCGCAAGGTCCAAATCAGGCATTATTTTGAATCAGCGGAAATATGCCCTCGAATTGATTTCTGATGCTGGTTTGCTTGGAGCTAAGCCTGTCTCCACTCCAGCTGATGCTCTGTCCAAGTTATCCCGTACACAAGGAACTTTGTTGCAGGATCCAGCCCCTTATAGACGTTTGGTCGGTCGTCTTCTTTACTTGACTACTACTCGTCCTGACATAAGCTTTGCGGTTCAGCAATTGTCTCAGTTTGTATCTCAGCCATCTGATGTTCACATGAATGCTGCCCTTTGAGTTCTTAAATATCTCAAAGGTTGTCCATCTACTGGTTTATTCTTTTCTGCAACCACTTCTCTTCAAGTTCGCGCTTTTGCTGATGCTGATTGGGCATGTTGCCCAGACACCAGGAAGTCCATTTCTGGTCAATGTTTGTTCATTGGCACGTCCCTAGTTTCCTGGAAGTCTAAAAAGCAATCTACTATTTCACGTTCATCATCTGAAGCTGAGTACCGTGCTCTAGCTAGTCTTTCCTGTGAGCTCCAATGGCTCCAATACCTTTTCCAGGATTTACACCTGCCATGGCTTACTCCTGCCTCAGCTTACTGTGATAATCGTTCTACCATTTATTTGGCACATAATCCCACCTTTCACGAGCGCTCGAAGCATATCGAGATCGACTGTCATGTTACTCGTGAGAAGATCACTTCTGGTTTGCTTCGTCTTCTTCCAGTGAAGTCCTCCGACCAGCTTGCCGATGTCTTCACGAAGCCTATGTCCACTCCTCTGTTCTCTCATTTTATCTCCAAGATGGGCCTTGTTGATGTTCTACGGCCATCTTGTGGGGGGGGGGGGGGGTAACACCAGATATGCAGTCCAAGTTACAACCAAAGCCCAAGTTATTACAATGGCCCAATGAACTCAGTCTTATGGACCCAGCCATTGCTGACGTGGATGATAAAAGCTTTGCAGCAACTAATCACGACAGAAATAGAAACTGATTTCTGAATTGATTTCTGTTTTCATAGTTAGTTACAGTTCTAACAATTTTTCCCGCCTTTTCGTTTCTATTCTTATAGCGTTCTTTATCTCATATATATATATGAGTTCGACCTTGTAATGATTATTATGCAGTAATGAGAATTTCCTTTATTTTTGTTAAAAAGTATTAAATTGTTCAATAATCAATAAGTTCAAGACTGAACTTGCATTCAACAATCAACTTGGATTGCAAATCCTAAGGAACAATACTCTGTTTTATCTAAGAGCAAAACTAGATATTCTGTTCATGCTGTGGATTCTGAGCGTAGGCACGTAACGGAGTTTGCAATTGAGTTTTGAAGTGTTTGGTTGCAAAGAAAGAGTACGAAAATGTATTTGTTCGCTAAGAAAGAGTAAGAAATGCTAGAGAAAGTTTTTTGCTCCTAGAAAAAGAGTCTTCGGATTCTAGGGGAGAAAATAAATTTGTGTAAAAAAAAAGAAGGGGGAAATGTCCCTACAAAAATAAAAGAAAGAAGGGAAAAAGAATAAGAGAGAAAAGAAAAATTTGTGTCAACTGATGGATAATAATTTCTGTGGCAACAGTAGAAACTGTTCTCCCAAAAATAATAATAAATCGATAACTTTAATTGTGGGTTTACCGATGGTTTGGTTGGCCCAAGCCTCCAACCTTAGCCCATATAATTTTTTAAGATATTTGAGTTACGATATAAAAAACTAATGATTACAGGGAAATGTGTTTTTTATGTTACATGACAAAAATCAAACCCTTTTATAAGCAATGTTTTCAAAATCGAGGGGATGGTAGAAACATAAATTCTAGAAACGATACGAAACATAAAATTTGTACATAAGGTCAAGATACAATTTTATTTATATATATATATATATATATATATATATATATATAATATCACATAAGTCACTATTCAAAATTCAATGAAGAACTTTATATTTAAAAGATATAAGTCTTATAATTATATAAGACATAAGTCCAAAAAAACATAAAAAAGAGTTGAGAAACTCCTACAAACAAGTTCTAAAATATCAAAATAATAAAATTTAATAACTTCTAAATTATATCAATTAATTCAAATCAAACACATAATTTTGCATTAGTTGTATGTTCTCAATGTCTTTTTCTCTTGTTCCTATAACACGTTCATTTGGAATAAAACATAATAGATTTATTCAAAATCCACCTTAGCTTTGTACTTCAACTTTTCACCAATGGCTTCACCCTCTTCTTTATCTGCAATAGCAACCTCACGCGATGTTTTTTTTTTCTTTTCAAATAACTAGAAGAAGATACTATGTATTTTAATTTGAGAAAAATAAAAAATAGTTTTTTTTTTAAAAAAAAAACTGGGTTAAAAATTGACCCGATTCATGTTTTTGACCCGGTACAATTTTTGGTTTAAGTAAAAACGCAATAACTTGCGTTTTTAATTTATCATTTTTATATTTTTGTACGGAGTTTTTAGCAGTTTTTACTTACTTGCATTTTAACACGTATCACTTGAGTAAGTTTTTATTTATACTAATTTTTTGACAATAATAATTACAAGAGCTCTAAAATAATGAATTATATAAGAATAACCTGCCAAACAATTTGTGTGAACTTCAAATAACAAAAGAAGAAAACTAATTTACCAAAAAAAGAAAAAGAAAACTTAAGAATGAATAATAAAATAAGTTTGAATTTACTTGAACTCTTTAGACAATTTTGATTTATTCGATGAAAAAACATCAATAGGATAACGCAACAACAAAATTTTAAATAAAAAAAATCATATTAAAGACAAAAAATAAGAAGGTTAGCGTATGCGTATGGGGAGTAAGGATAGGGACTGGGGACCTTGAGTAGTTCGGGTTGTTGATGCTTAGAAGGTAAACCTGTTTACACTCAGTTAATGTTGATTTTTTTTATTTTTTATTTATTTATTTGTAAAACAAGTTAATGTTGATTTAGATGTGATGTATTATGTATATGAGGCTAGTAAAACTTTCACGTAAACTTGAGTCACTCAACGTGTATTATCCTTTTTTTTTTAATGATGACATAAGTCCCCACGAATCCACGTAATCCGTCACATAAATTTATGTCATTAATGACGTGAATAAAATAATAGTATAGTTGTACCCAAATTAAAAAAAAATAAAAAATCAACTGCGATTAAAAAAGTCCAAAGCAAAAGAAGCATGGTCAAAGAAAAGAAAAGCAGAGGGGAGAGAGAGAGAGAGAGAGAGAGACGAAGAGAATTGAATTATCTGGTCAATCTCCGAAGTGAGAAGCGAGGAGAATCGATTAGTGATGTCGAAAAGTGGAAAACTTGGTTGCGTGGTGGTGGCGGTGGATGGCAGCGAGGAGAGCATGAACTCTCTGCGGTGGGCGCTGGAGAACCTTAAGCTCAGATCACCTGCACCCGATTCCACCGATGCTGGTTGTTTCGTCATCTTCCACGTCCAATCACCGCCTTCCATCGCCACCGGCCTCAATCCCGGTGCCATCCCTTTCGGTGGTCCCACTGACCTTGAAGTTCCCGCGTTCGCTGCAGCCATCGAAGCTCACCAGAAGCGAATCACTGACGTCATACTTGATCACGCTTTGGGAATTTGCTCCCAATTCAATCTCACTGTAGGTTTTCTTTTCTTTTCCTTTTAATTTAAATTTCACAATGCTCTCTGTCGTGCCAATTTATAAACAGCAATTAGATTTAAAATAAAGGAATTGGCTGAAGTCATTTATGTATTTTCCCGGCTATCTGTTCTTTGAATTTCTAGGATAATATATCTATTTTGTGCGTGTAGTATTGTTAATTATGGAATAAATTTAGTGCTCAACATTTTTCATCTTCTCTTCTTTATGTTTGTGAATCATTTTTCTTTGTCAACGGTGTTTACCAGCACTAAATTAGATGTATTTTCAAGGAGACAACTATTTTTTGGTCGTTCTCCCTTGAATTCAACCTTTGGCTGAGCTGAGGAACTCTGGCAGGGGAGTGGCATTGGCATAGTATGAAAATTGGCAGATTAAATGACACCGTAGGACGCCAATTATTTGAGCAAGTGTTTCATTTCAAGTTGTTGTCAGTACTGTAGTCTTTTAATAATAGAGTTTCTTTTTTTTTAAAAAAAAAAACTTATATAACTTGTGTCAATAGTCAATAATACAGTTTGAATGTGATTTGCAGGAGATAGATGTCGTTTGTTTTGTTTTTGGAAGGATAAGGCTCCTTGAAAGTGCATTTGTCTTTAAATTGCACAAGTTATAAGGGTGTATTTATCACTTTGAATTTTACTTGGTTACTTACTTGTGTAATTTAAAGATAAACTTATTTAGAGGAGTTTTTTCCATTTTGGAATTATAGGATTGACTTTTCTCTATTTATAGCAGGGGAAGGTCAAGACCCATGTTGTTGTTGGAGATCCAAAGGAGAAGATTTGTGAAGCCGTACAGGATTTGCATGCTGATGTGCTTGTGATGGGGTCTCGTGCATTTGGACCTATTAAGAGGTAGAAATTAACTAGGGCCAAATCTTCATAATTGCCAGAAAGTATGACATAAATTTGCAATAGCACGTGGCATACTTTTTGGTAGTTAGCCTGAGTAGAATAGCACATATCACAAAATGACTTGATAAACAATCTTGACGATTTTTCCCTATATGGGAATATTGACAAGTGCTAAGACATTGTAGAATGTAATACTGGGAAAGAACTTGAATTTTCACACTTACATGTAGTTAATCCTTTCCTAATAAAACTTTCCAATTTGTTGGCAATATGATAATAGCAAATAACAACTCGACCAGCCACACAAACCCAGTCCATTGGGTCAGCTTCTAAGGTCAAGTAGAGGGGTTACATCCCTTCATCCCTAAAGTAAGACAAATGTTATCTCACGTACCTCATGCAGCAAGTGAGATGCTTTCCTCACACCTAGTGGAGCCCATAAGGATAGAAATGATTATGTCTCTCTCTCTCTCATTATTAGAGAATCTAATGAGATTTTGGGATACACCACCCCAAAAGCTAACTCAAAGGATAGGAATGCCCAAGGCCTTATAAACTCCACATTAGTTGTCCATACAACCAATGTGGGACTTCAAGTCTCATACCTTGCAAATGGGATCGTAACATTCCACCACGCTCCGCAGCCCCGACACCCACGCAGGCTGGATTTGCGCTAGTCTTTTACTAGCCCCTGGCGAACACAGCAATGGCAGTGTAACCACCCGCGCCGCTCGAGTGCAACCGGGAGACATAGTGGAAGGCTCTGATACCATTTGATAAGACCTTTGGATGCACTATCCCAAAAGCTAGTTCAAAAGATAGGAGTGTCCAAGGCCTTATAAACCCCACATTAGTTGCTCATACAACTAGTGTGAGACTTCAAGTCCCATACCTTGCAAATGGGATCGTAACATTTCACCACGCTCCGCAGCCCCGGCGCCCTTGCGGGCTGGCTTTACGCTAGTCTTTTAGTAGCCCCGGGCGAACACTGCAATGCCGGCGTCACCACCTGCGCCGCTCGATTGCAACCGAGAGATGTAGTGGAAGGCTCTGATACCATTTGATAAGATCTTGAGATGCACCATCCCATAAGTTAGCTCAAATGATGGGAATGTCCAAGGCCTTATAAACTCCACATTAGTTGCCCATACAACCAATGTAGGACTTCAAGTCCCATACCTTGCAAATCGGATCGTAACAGAATCTTCTTCACCTATGAATACCCTTTTTCTCCATTGAAGAGGTATTTTTTGCATACTCATTCTACTTGCTGCCGAAATACAGCCACAGAGCCGCCACGACCTATACTCTTCCCTTGATTCTAAACTTCTGCTTGAGATCCACTCACGGTGGTTCTCCTGTTGAGCTTAGATTGTTCATACCTCTACTTCTTTAGATCACAGAGACATTGACATACACTTCATGAGGAAAATAGACCTAAATCTACCACAGTAACATTTTACAACTACTGCAGAGTGATGCTGCGATTTTACAAACCCTTGCTGAATAGGCCAATAGAGTTAAAAAGGCCTTCAATATTGTGCATAACCAACTGCTGAACCTTCAATTTGTTTTCTTAATCTTCACTCATTTATCTGCAGAGATAGATCTGCTTCCATTAACATTTTTGGCATTAGAGCAAATGCAGCAAATGCTCAACTTCTTTTACATCAGTCCCGGTCTCTTTTGTTTTGGTTCTTGTTTTAAAAGATTTGAATTTTGAATTTTGGAGAGGGAAAACCTGTGGACACGCCTCCCATAATGCTTCTCTTTTTTCTTTTCTTTTTTTCTGCCTTACAGGATGTTCCTGGGAAGTGTTAGCAACTACTGCGCCCACCATGCTCAGTGCCCAGTCATTATCATAAAGGAAAAGGACATTGTCAATAAGAGAGAATAGGTACACTTCTACTATGCCATCATGACTCTTGACGAGGTCTGGCCGCATTTTTATGTTCATCCCCTTAAGTTTTTTAGGATTTAAGAAAAGAGTATTACAGTTAATTTTGGCACAAGCGGATAAATTTTCTGACTTCTTAAGCCTAATATACTTGATAACTACCCTCCATACTATTGAATTTCAAATCTTCAATACTTACCTTGCAGCTAATAGTTGAATTTGGCTGTTAGAATTATTAGTAGTCTACTTAAAGTCTTAAATGAAAGGTGACATGGAATATATATTTTGCTTTTGGATGAGTGTTGCGGAAGTAATATATTTTGGTTCTGTTTTTCACACTATTCTTTTTATGTAAGTTACTTACTAAAAATAGATTTATTGTAAATAATGATTTATTTAAATTAGGGTTTCTATCCAATATATAAAGGTTTCTGAAGGCTATAAGAGAATAGATCAGTTTTTCTTATTAACAGAAGTTTTCTTCCAATTTCCCTAGTTGCTATTTGCTAACTAGAAGACTTACCCTAGTTTCCCTATTTCTCTTTGTCCATCCTTTTTTCTTCCTACTGCTATAGATCATACATCATCAGAATCAACTGATAGATCATAATTGATAGATCATACATGCATAATCCAATGATTAGATTTGATCGTCTCATTCTCACAATTTGATATGTCCTTTTTTATATATTGAGATTCCTTTAGTGACCTTTGTTTTTATTAGGGTGATATTATCCTTAGCAACTAGTAGTCATCATTTAGCCATGTGTCCATTTAATTAAAATATATAAATACAAAAAAACTCGAGGTTTTTAATATTTACTCTTTCTCATTATTTTCGATATTTCTGATAGTTGTTTTTATATCTTTGGAACTCTTTTGTTACAACAGAGTCTTGCATCACTTACAAATTACAAAGTAGTGGGGTTCTGAAATAATTTTGATTGCATCTTTTGGGTTCTTTAGGTGTGTTGCCACATTTCAGTTCCTGATGCTGTATCCCTGCTTGCCCAATTAATTAGGTCAAAAGCTTTTTCATAATTGGGTTTTGCATACTTTTACCAGACCTGTGCTGTAGCTCAGCTTTGAAGCTCTTTTTGTTTTGCCAATGCTGGTCACATCCTGGTACAAGTACGTGTTTTCTCTTTTTGTGGACAATGCTGCTGTGTGTGAAATTCTTGAAGTTAAGAGTGCTTTTCTCCTGTGCTAGTACAACTTTGTTTGTTGTCGCAAGTGGTTCAAAGAGATATTTGACTTCAGAAACTCTATATTCTTTTTTAATTTCTACAATGTTGTTGTACACAAATGTTGCATTACTATTGCTCCTTGTTCAGCCAGTTCTCGTGGGGATCTGAAACAAACTGGCCAGTAGTCACGTTGAATTTTCAAATTGGGAAGGCCACTTGTGCTGGCTGCAGCCTGCACTGTCTCTGAGGATATGGATAGGGTGTCATGCTTAAATTAATGTTTATGTGATTTATGACAAAGAAATTTAGAGTGCCATGATATTGTTGTTGATTAACTTCTTATGGGAAGGGATATACATATGGTTGAATAATTATTTGTGGAATGTGAATATGACTAATTCAACGGTTGAATTGTTTCATATTGTCTTAATCACACACACACATATGTGTGTGTCTATATATATATATATATATATATATGAGGAAGGATATTCTCACTACCAACTTACTACCTATCTAATCACCATTAGATTAACATTTTTTATCTCTTCAAATTTTTTTTAGCATTCTCTCTCTTTGATCCAATGGTGATTAGATATGTAGTAAGTTGGTAGTGAAAATTTTTGGTAATGAGAATATTCTTTCTCTCTCTATATATATAAAAGAGAAACAGAGACACACACATGTATATATAGTTGACATATATTTATATATTTTTTAAACTTTTAGTTTAAATAAAGTTGTACTTGATTTTATAATTATATGAAATTTTATCTTGATTTATCTCAAGAGAATTTACAATCTAATATATGTATTAATGAAATTTACGTTAAAAAAAATACGTTATTTAATAGTGTGCCAAGAGCTGCACTTGGAGTAAGAATTTACGACGAAAAAATTGACATAGGAATTAGTGTTTTTTTATATTCGTGTTGGAATTCTTGAGTCAAACGCAAACACAATAATTTATGGGAAAAATGTTTGTTCTTTTAAATGATACAACTTATATCTTTTCACTCTCACAAAGAAGTGAGATTTACACCTTTATTTTTTTTGTCCACTCTTTATCTTCGTTTATTTATCTATTTCTCTCACTTAAAATGACACAACTTTACATCTTTTAAAATGATACACACTTTACCCATAAGTTGTGTTCGAATCTCTTCAGTATCACCTTTGGGAGGGGTTTAAAGTTTTAATTTTGAATCTGCCCCGAATCGAATTAGTTGCAAAGCAATGAACAGATTGAAATATTTCAAAAAAAAAAAAAAATGAATAAAATAGATTCGGTAGAATCAACCCCATGTGAGTCTGATCAAACTCGAATTTGACTAGTTGTTGAACCGATAGAAAAATAAAAAAGTATTTCCCAAAAAAATTCTTTTTAAAATTCCATAATTTATGATTTTGTTCTGATTCCCGAGTGTCAAATATAACACATAATATCAAATATAATTAAACATAATTACACTGATAGTGTTGTTTAGAAACTCAATCATGGTTAGCCTTTCCCATGTTGTTGTCATGAAAATCAATCCTAGTGGAATTTGGATCTTCTTATGTGAATAAGTGGTCATGTAATCATGTTATTTCATCATAATCACTAGTTTAAAAATTATACACTTTTCTCTTTTTTATCTCATCATTAATGAATGAAAATGAGTGGTTGTGATGAAATAACATGTCCACATAATCACTTTAATGAAATAACATTAAACTAAGGAAAAATATACTCCTCTTGGAGAATATTTTTTTATTCTACACATACATTGATTTTTGTGTTTTTTTTTTTAATTTTTATAAGTAGATGAGTTTTACACATGATTATGTCTATAGTATGAAATAACCTCTCTTTTATTATATGAGATTAATAAAGCCCTTAGACTAAATAGTGTAATATTGTTGGTTTAACCTGGTGGCCACCTATGATGCACGGACACTGACACGGGATACGGGACACGACACGACACGTCGACATGTTAGTTCTAAAAAATGGCATATTTTGACACGTTGAGACACGTTTTGATATTAAATAATATTTTTAATATATATAATATAATTTATATTTTATAGATATAACAGTCCATAATAAGTCATATAATCAACCAAATATTCAAATTTTATAACATAAATATAAACAAAAATAATTTTTCGTACTTTATTAATTTTTCATATCAAATTTCATAACAGAAAAAAATTGATTTATAAATGATTTTTTTATTTTTAGTTAATAAAATAAAATTAAGACTAAAAAAATGAAAAAAAAAACAAGTCCGAGCCTTGATCACGTGTCGAAAAAAGTTGACTGCGTGTCAAAAAAACATGTCGGAGCGTGCCAGAGAGTTGACCACGTGTCCCAAAATATTAACCGCGTGTTAGACGTGTGTCGTAGAGTATACGTGTCAGATACGTGTCCGACACACACAATTCAAAGGTGGCCACTGGCCATATAAACGGTAGTCTTTTCTTTTGGAATTAGCTTGATGTTCTTGGGCAAAGACTTTTGAGGCTAAAATATTAGTTTGGTCCTGCTGCTTCCCCTTATAAGAAATGATAGAGAGGAAAAAAAATTAATTAATTATAGAATAAATATCCTTTTTGGTTCTCAGCAAATTTCATGATATCCGCTTTAGTTCCTAGTAAATAAAAAGGCTATTCGTGATCCTTAAAAAATTCAAAATGGATCTATTTAGTTGAAATCGTGGTTCCTAACAAATTCAAAAAAGATCCACATTAGTCCCTCAAAAAGACTAAAATGGATCCACTTTAAATTTCTTAAGAACCACGAATAGCCTTTTTATTTACTAGGGACTAAAGCGGGTACTGTAAAATTTGTTGAGGATCGAAAAAGGTATTTACTCTTAATTATAATTTAAATAAAAAAACTATGAATTTATTGCCTGTTTTGAAATTATTTACGTGTGTATTGTAATATGTCACGTTCAAATTAGGCGTTATCAGTCACGCCTAAGTTATGTGTCACCCATGAGGCACTTACGCCCGGTAGCGGATCCAGGAAATTGTATTTATGTCTGCACATTTAGTGGCGAGGGTTCGGGGATAGCACCCCCGAATTTTTTTTAAAAGCTTTTGCCATGCAGAGGATCCATGAAAGGATATACATTAAATAGCCTTATCTTGTATTTGCAAAATGTTAGATATAATAATTAAAAATGTGACTTTTGGGCACATGACCACAACACCAACCATTAAGACGAGAAAATAACAACTTAGTAAATCTAAACTAATATAAGCATAGTGGCACAAATATAAACACAACGATATTAATTTCAAGAATGTAGTATAACATATCTATTATTCAAACATACATGTTATAAGTAATTGAGAGACCGAACACATTTGGTTGCTTATAAGTTGACAAATCCATATGCAAAATAGATCAATTTTTTAATAGAAAAAAAAGGATAGGATATTGTGACACACAAATAATGTTACGCACAATGTTACGACCACATCTTAAGCGTTGATTTTCGCCAATCAACGATTATCATTTATTGCGAATTAATAATTAATTAATGAGTTTGATTTGAAAAATGATAACCGTTAATTAAAATAAGAGATAATTCTCTTTTTGTTTTTATTAGAAGAATGGGATGATTCTCTATAATTCAACCTTATCTTTGGATTGAGGGGAGAAAATGGAAGAAAGTTTTTAAAGTTTCAAATCTTTTATCAAATGACAGAAAAGAAAAAAAAAATAAAGGAACTAAAATAATAGAAATAAAAAATTAAAAAAATTTGCGTCATCTTTTTTTTAATCTTTTCTCTCATTTTCTTCCATGTCATTAAAAAATTATTAGGGCCTCTTTAGATGGGTTTTTCTCTCTTCAAAAGTTGTTTTACTTCAGGAAAAAAAAAGCATGTATGGGAGAAATATGTTTGGACGTCTACTTTTAAAAAGAGTAAAAGTCATAAAAAAAGTTAAAAATCTTTTTTTTAAAATGAAAATTTTTGCTTCTAAAAATAACATAAGTTAAAACACAAATATTTTTTAAAAATTTAAATAACTTTAACTTTTATAAAAAATACTTCTAAAATAAATAAAATATAAAAATATTTTTTTTGAAAACTCATCCAAACAATCACTTATTCTCATAGAAGTGAAACAGAGTAATTTTATTATTATTGTGAATTTAAATTGGAATCAAGGAATGGGAACACCCATTTATCAAGTATATATTATTTTATTTTTTAAAAATTCCTGATATGAATTAAGAGAAGGAAAAAAGTCCAATTTCGTTAATATGATGACTATTAAATGGTAATTAATCTGGTATTGAACAATATAAAGAAGGGAATAAATACCAATAATTTCCAGAATTCAATATTTGGATTACCATTTCAAAATCCAAATTAAAGTTATTCATTAGTTTTTTAAAACAGTTCCTACTTTATACACGTTCAATGCTTTTTCTTATATAATTTGACGATATTCATTTTTTTTCTTACTAGTTCATTATTTTTCTTACCTAATTTGACCCTGTTGATTTTTTTATTCCATAACATGTAATTTGTTATTCCCATGGGATTGGCGGTATCAGATTGATCAAAGTTAAGAGCAATATTAAAAAAAAAAACTTTTTATCTTTCTTTCTTTATTTTTTAACTTTTCAAAAATTTTAAAAATAGCAGAGGTGAAGATTAACGACCCGTTTGAATGAATTTTTTTTTTCAAAAATTGCATTTTATAAGTAAAAAGATATATTTTTCACTATAAGTTATTTTAGATTTCTATTTAAAAAAAAAGAAAAAATTACAGTTACTTATATAATTATATATAATAAATAAAATTTACTGAAATGTAGCTGGGGCTCCGACCCTACCTAAGCATAATGTGGTTCCGCCACTGATGGGCAAGAAAACAAAAAAAAAACCGTCTAACGTCCAAAAGAATGGCTCCACACAATGGCGGAGCCAGAATTTAACTTTAGTTGGGGCAAAAAATTTGACATGTCAAACATTTATCATAATTACACATACCTTTTATTTTTTAATAATATAATATATGATGATTTATATTATTCATTTAAAAACATATTCTGAGATCAATTAGAATAATGTTTGGTTCATTACTTATTATGTTGTGGGAGGAAAGTGAAATTTTATGTTTGAAATGTTTATCGAAAAAGTTAGTGCATTTTTATATGTTTGCTCTGATATATAATCAACGACAATTAGGCTGCGCATGACAATCATTCTGATTCCTGGCACTGTTTCTGAAAAGGAATGATTCTTTTCTATTTCTGTGCCTTGGAACAATTCTGAGAATCAGAATTACGTTTGTTAACATATTTTATTTTTATTCCGAGAATCAGAATTACGTTTGATAACACATTTTTTTTATTCCGATAATCAAAATTACGTTTGATAACACAATAAAAATCTATTTCTTTACTTT